CCAGTATTTTCTCTGAACAAATCGATTTTGTTAGCTGAATTTTGAACTAACAGGACAGTAGCCCCTATCCCAGTCTCAGTAGTCTCCTACCAGCAACCCTGGTAGGAAATCGAGCCTGTCCCGTTTTCAGGCTCACAAAGACCAACGGTGAGAATCCCCCGCTGGTTCTAAGGGCAGCGAAGCATCCACAGACACAGCAGGAAACCATTCGACTTCTACTCGAGACTTTCTAGGTTGCGCAAATAAAACTTGTCGACAGAATACGAAAAACATGAATGTGTTGACCTTACGTCCTAAAACAAAGCACCTTCGTCGTTCTCTATTAAGGTAACGACAATGACCTGTATCTGTCGGCAGCTCTGAAAACTGAAAAGAGCACCCTTCAAAGTGACCGATTATGTGTCGCGCAACACTTCCGCGTTTAATTACCCTGAACATCCTTACGATGGATGATTTTCTGCGCCGAAACGTTCCTCTGTGAGCGTGGGAGATGTCCTCGGTGTGATGGTTCTTATGAAAGCCGTCGCTATTCAGTTTTTATCCACATAATGAGAGGTTTTTTCAGAATTCTAAGCAATGATTGCCTACGGCGCTTTGAAATAAGATGTCGTGGCCAACGATTTCTCGGAATAGACGATGACTGAACACGCACGAGACAAGGCAGAGAGTACCCCCTCATTTCTTCTTTTTTTTTTGTTGCTTTCCTCACAGAATTCAGTTTCTCTCAAATAATGAGACATGTAGGGCTAGATATGCCCTAGAAATAGCGCTCATAAAGTTTTTTTTCTACTAAGTACCCCGTGAAATGGGCCTTTTTACTATTCATTATTACATTGTCTTAGTGAGGTAATGGGATTCGTCCATGCTTCCGGGCGGGATCATCTGGTATTACTCACAATCCTTTCTATTGGGCACCTTCACCAAGCTTGATGTTTGATTATCTTCTACAGCTGTAGGGATGGGTTCAGCACAACGGAAAGTGATCGGTCAACACAGATTCGTTTCTGTTCTGCCCAGCTATTATGAAAATAATATGGTAATGCCTAGGATTTGACGGACAAATTAGGGCTGAGGCAGACCGAACAGTAAGTGCCCTTCTGATTACCTACGTAAATGTCTTTTGCGACTAGCTCAACACCGTTTGCACCTTGATTCAAAAGAATACTTTTTTCCGAGACTTTGGACCATATGCAAGCTTCAAGTAACAAAGTCTATCTTCACTGCTTTCAGTACGTCATCTGAGGTAAATTGAGGTGGGATAAGTGGAAAATGAATTTTTATATTAGAGCTAGCATACAGACCGATTCTTGGCTCAATTGATAAAATTGTCGGATTCAGTAAGCATCGCTGTAGGACTAGAACTGTTGCTACAATGTCCTGAACACTTGGGAATTCACCAAGCTTGGTTATGGCGAACGGCCATTGCAGGATGAACGCAATGACAACTGTAGCCAGCACGACTTTAAAAACTCTAGTACCCCTCCTACCTGACTTTTTTACTTTTTTACTTACTTTGTCTATCGATAATCAACAATCATTGGATAAAAGCCGCAAAATCGGAGATAACTTCGAAGAAAAACCAGTTAAAATCTTTAAAAGAGTTATTTAACTGCTCAATAGAATGGTGTGGGAGAAGAGTTATGAAAATACAGTTAGATAATAATTCAGTGGACTAANTACAGTTAGATAATAATTCAGTGGACTAACACTGCCATGATGGGATAGCAAAAAGAAATGGGTCAGACAGAGAGCCGATGTCGAGCCGCCGGAAGCTGTCAGACGGCGGCTGCGCCAAATCCGGTCCGCCACACCCGTCCCGCTCAGTCTGCGTTACCCGCCTTTGCTGGGGCGCCGGTCTCGAGCCGAATCCGTCCGGTGTTAACTTACACAATATCAAATGACCTCTCCAAAGACGAGTTCTCATGAATAAAGAGGAGCTTGCGGCAGTGCTTTCGTTACACAAGCAACATCAATCGCGATTGACGACGCTGATCTCTATAGTGAGAGTGGACGAGGAGGTGGCCAGCCCAGGGCATAAAAACAAACTCCACGCAGCCGTTATGGAAACTAGAGAAGCCGGAGAAATTTGGATAGTGCCCTGAATAGAGACTAACCATTCTAAGACTTGCTCGAACAGCATTTCGTCCGTCTTACGCTCTATAGTCCAAGCCAACTGGTATGCTTCTCTGTAGCCTCTTCGTTCCTGTCCATCTGTCAAAACCAAACTTAAACTTACCAGCTTACCACTTACTTTAGAAAGGGAGTAAGTGGTACCGTTGAGTGGTGTCTAAAGGACTGAAATGGTTGCTCTGAGCCCAAGCAGTTTTCTAGATGGCATTCCACCAATCTACAAGAACATTTCACCATCTCCTCGCTCTTCCTTTTACATTTTCTTTCTTGAAAGCTAAGAACACATGCAGCATTGTTGTTCGAGCATCGCTATCCAGTTCATCGGTAGCGTATTCACTTGAATGTCACCTTTGAAATCTAAATAGAAGGCGAGTGCATGGCTTATCCGAGAATAAATTGGAGTCGCAGGCTACATGATCCACCATTATGAGAGATTATCGAGCGATATCACTTAGCACCGCTCAAATTCACTCACAAGAAATAAGCAGTCAATTAATAAAGAGCCTGGGAATGGGAAGGAAAGTGAAGAATGAAAGGGGTCGGAGAGATACAGGAGAAAATAATTGGCAAAGCAATGGCGGAGACTGCCTTCTGAGATCCCTCATTAGCTTTTCCGAAAAACAAAAGTTCTACCGACAGGATTTTGTTTTGCTATCCCATCGGGTGTCAATGGAAGTGAAATAAAAATATTTGCTGTCGTGGTTCAGCACAGCAGCAGCGGTGGTGGTGTCACTGAGCCGAATCGCAAACCAAATCAACGCGGCCCTCACCACCGGTTATAGACTCAATTCAGAAACGATTTCAAAGAAAAGGGGCAGAAAGTATGGACGGCAGCTGAAAAGAGACCTAAGAAGGAGACAGGTTTCAAGGTTTCCTGAAATCTTTCCAACTGGTTATCAAAACTCTGTAAAGGGCGCCCGCCTAGGCATGTTCATCAGCCAAGTCGGGCTTTGCGTGATTTACTACTATATATATGACTTGACCAACAAACTTGGAAATCATTATCTGAACCCTAGCTATAGTTAAAGTTACTGGTTCTTAGAGCCTTTACTTGATTGCTTAGTGGACTCAAAGACTGATTTAAAAGCGCATTTCTTCTCATGTTCGAATATACAGTACTATCTACACAGCCGAAGAAGTAGGCTCGTTACTGCAACACAATGTAATAAATAGCGATGAATATTGTTTTTGATCATCAGCTATTGCATCAATCAAATAAGGGCTATCGGCATTTCAAAACATTGAAAAGAAATAGGAATCGAACTTTCTCACAGAAGGATGAAGGTGGGAATAGGGTCAAGGGGCACACTACCGAAAGCCGGCGGATAGAATCTCCGGATGATACTCATTCTGGGGTACCTAGTCTTCTGTTTCGTCCTACGGAGTCAGTCAACTTATCGAATTTACCGAACCTTTCTAAAAAAATTATCAAGCTTTGAGCGGTTGATTTTCAGACCGGATGATTTCTCTAAAAAATACAGCGATTGTTTCGTTCCAGAAAGAGTCCACGGTTTTTCGAAATCCACGATTTCCATTGATTGAAACCATCCATCGAACTGTTAGGATTGCCAAGAGAATGTATAAAATCGTGATACCCCTCAATACAATACCTTTTCAGATCAGTGGCCAAGCAAAATGAGATCAAGGAGATCCTTGTGTGGGTTTTGTACCGACATTCACCCAAGAAACCTAGCAGATTCCCGGTCCTAACTTCGAGTGATTACAATTAACTCAGCCGTCACCGTATCGTTACAGATTTTGACATCTTTCTTTGGTTCGACACAAATTCCCTCCGCATGTGATCGAACGGATTTCAAAGGCCCAAGACGACAGGTGATTCAATCTACAGAGACGCTATGTCAATGGCTTGACTCGGTGTGCATGCACGCGTGATAATTGCCGGCAGGAGAGCGAACAAAGCTTTCGAACCGGAAATCGCTCCTCCTTTTCATCATGGCGGGTGAGAAATCGCCGACGTTTGATTTCCGGCTGCCTGTGTATGGACACTAATGGACGTCGATGAACTTTGTAGGACCAGGAAGCGTTTCAGACAAAAAGGAAGGGGACTACAAAATTCGTACTAGTTTATTTGATTCGGAATTTAAAAGGTAGCCTCTTGAAGGTGACGACATTAGGTTGTGAATGTGGCATCCTTTCATAGGAAACTTCGTTGTTTAAAAGCCTATCAGTGTTATTATTAGAGGTTTTAGGCCAGACATTCAATGGTGTTGGCGAGAAACTCCGTAGTAGCTCGTCACCTTAGATATCTGAGGCTCGGTTGGCTTATACCGTCTTCCCTGGGAACCTCCAAGCCCCACGAGGCAACACGTGCATCTCAACACTGGGTGTTAGGAACCGAAAAGAAAAAAATTTTTCCTTTTATAAGCGTCCAACCTGTGTTAACCGACTTTTGGACTTTGACCGATCAAGTTTTCGGACTTTTTCATTCTACTGTGAGGTCCATTTGCTCCATATTCGTGCAGTCCTAGGATCCAATTCGGTCCTCGTCATTCGAACTTTGTTCCCAACTGGCGGCGTTAGTCTACTTCTAGAAAAGCCTTTCCTTACTGTATCATGTGTTTGTATATTTGAGAACGCAATAAAACCCTACCGCGAATTCTGGTGAAGATCCGGTGCGCGGCGCATCAAGAAAGGTCTTGTCAAGGTCCAACGCGCTCTTGTTTACTCAACACGCCAACAAAATAGTCTTTTGGACAAAAATACTCGATAAAACTGAAGACAAGAGCATAAAAATTGCTCGTTTAAACATTTTATCAAAGCTTGTATGATTTCGCGATCAATTAATGCCACTCTCCTATGCTTAGAACTCGGTGATCTTAGAGTCGGTAATCCACGAACACACCGTGTTCCTATTGATCAGCGCTATAAAGTACAATACAGCTACTATCCAAAATATCACATAAAAGAACCATCGAATAGACTTCCACCGCGATCTTTGACGCTGCATACGACGACGATGGCGAGGCTTCAATTGCGCCATAGCCAAAGACTCCATCGATGTTGTCAGATCAATCTAGAATGCCATTGGAAGGATTCTGATGTTTGAGATAGTAGTCGGACTCCTCGAAAGTGGGAGCCTTGTTGGGGTGAGCGGGTATCAGATATCCAGATTGATGAGAAAGTGTTCTCATAGAGAAGACAACCAGAAGTAGCGGATACTGAAGGAAAAGTCTGATCGCAGCACATTATGCTTATGATAGACTCATTATGATGCCCTACCAAGCTCTACCACTCTCTCTGTCTTCGATAGACGATTTCTCGCTCATACTACCTCATCTGTAACTGCTCCTTCAGCTGCGCGATGGTTGAGACATCCAGAACTGTTTATACCGGTTGCAAGGTTGCACAGAATATGCAAGGAGCGTAGGCGAATGTGGCTACAAAGATTCCCTTTCTCTCATTCCCTCTTCAGATCAGAGCTCTCCAACCATCCGGCAACCACAGCATGCACAGCCGCATTACTTTCATCCTCGTCATAGCCTGCCTCTTCATCTAGGATCACCTCATCAGCAAATATGTATCGAGAAAGAAGGCCAACCTAGCTCAGAGGAAAAGGGATTAGGATAAACGGACCAGAGTGTAGTCGAAAATAGATAACCGAAAAAGTCTCGAGCTGAATCTTCAAACAAAAGAATAATGCAAAATATCGTACATTCTTCTCTTTGGCTCTTCTCACCACCCTCAACGCCTTCATGAGCTCCGTTACGTCAACATTGCTACTTGATACCGGAGTGTTCTAAACTATTTTTTATTTACTTTTCAACAAATATGCACTTTTCGATAAGCGATCGGTTGCAATCAAAACTTTCTTCATGTTCTTATACTTTGCACTGAAACAGAAGTAGAAGTTTCAGCAGAACTTCTATGGGTAATTAAATCAGATCGCTAAGATCTGATGCCATTTTTACACACTCGTTGTTATAAACGTCCTCACTAACCATATGCCTACTCTAGAAAGGTAAAAAGTCGTAAATAGCAATTGGAAACTTCGTTCCCATTGAAAGCTCGAACTCAGTACGAAAACTCCTTCACTAAGTGCTCTGCCTCTTCCTCAAAGGAAAAATTTCATACTGGTTTATAGTTCTCACTGCTATGTACAGTAGGATACCCCCACGAGGCCTAACACATTCTTTTGAATAACTTTCCCATTCATCTCTGTTGCAAAAAGCTCTCACCGATCCCGACGTGATCTTCTTTTTTGCAATGCTGTGTTTCTCCTAAAATATGACGCTGAGAATGTGATTCTAACCTTNAAATCTTGTGCCCCACCTGGAAACCCTCACTCGGTTTCGATTTGTCCGAGGGAACAGATGGCGACTTCGAGGATGAACTCATTACATCAAAATCTAAAAGCATTCCTCAATCTAACGAAGGACTGAGTAAGGTTGGCTACTCAGTTTGGCTCCTGGCCCGTTGCTCTGCGGTAGAACCGACCTGCCTGTGTATCTGACGCGTTGGGGTGATGCCTTCGAATTTTGTCAGATGTGGATCACCCACTCCGCAGCAATTTTTCCCTCTCTCACCCCATCCAGCTACCGGAAACTACCCAGTCCTATGGCTCACAATTGTTTCTTCTTATGCCCACATGCTAGTCGTGGTGTCCTCTCTTGAACCTTCCCCGCCTGCTCCCCTCAGCGTTTTGAACTTGTCGAGGAGGGTTTTTTTTTACCGGATCACCGTGACGCTCCGTGCCATCTCCCGTACGCGCGGCAAGGATACCTTCAACTTACTCACCCTGATTTCATTGTATTGTGTTGTGGTGCTTGTTAGCCAACCATGCTTGCTAGTCCCCATCAAATCTTTAAGCTAGCTATGACAGAACCGAAAAAAACTCCCTGTTTCACATCGAGTTGTTCTTGAGCCTTGAACTCAAAGAGGTCAGGTCAAGAAAGTGGTTATGAGTTCGTCGGTCGTGTTAACGCTCACCAAGCACCCGAACAGTTTACCCAGTGGGACTCAGAGTTAAAAGCTAAACGACTAACCTCTAGTAGAATTGTAACAATGATGCCGCTTACCCGATACTCGCGTAATTGATTTTTTATCATCTTCTTTTGATATTGGTTTCAAGCCACCAACCCTGAAAAAATATGAGAGCAGTGGTTCAGCGCTGAAGTCGCGATGAATCTCGTCCGAAATGCTGCAGCCCTACCCAACAAATAGATAGCTCCGCCCATCTCCGAACCATTCGCTTCAGCATTGCAAATGCCGAACCCCTTAACAGATTGGTACATCGATGGGCTGTTTCACGGTAATCTTTGAGGCCATATCTTCAGGTAGCCACGCCCGAACGGATTGGTTCCTCAACCGAGCGTAAGTTCAGGTTCGGTTCAGGAATAGTGCTACCATAAAGGCTGTGAAGTTCCACTCAAGTGAATTTAACCTGGTAGAAAGAATTGCGCAAATTTATTTCAATAAAAGACAGTGTCTAACACATTTAAACAACTCGTCAAAACAAAATGAGAATGAAAAATATGAAAGTATGAGTGACATTAGCATCTAAGTGATTACAAGAGGTACAATACAAATAAGAAATGTTAAAAAAATAACCGTCAATATGGCGACTGATGTCTAGTGACAAAAATAAATACGAAGCGAATCTACACAGCCACTCACTCAGTTTTCACTCACACAGGGAAAAAATGGGTAAAAAACTTGCACCGTAAGACAAGTCGCTGGTTATATGATGGCAAAACTAAAGGGACGGGAAGGCTAACCAAAGACAGCTTGGGATAAAACCTACGCTTAAGTAGCGGCTCTGGGTCAATATTAGCTAAAACTATCTGTTTTCAGATGTGATGTCCAGAACGTTAAGGTCTCTGGAGTTGAAAGCCTGCAGGCAATGGGCATTTTGGGTGTAAAGGCGCACGGACTAGAAGATATCATAGCGACTATACAAAAATCAAGCTCATTTTTCGATGCCGTTCAAACCACGTTTATACTCGGAATAAGCTGCCGGCCTGTACTGAATACAAATATTCTTATAGGTCCTAGATTCACCTCGCTCCCACCCCAGAGCGAAAATTCCGACGGATGGGGTATAGCGAACGCCGCGTCGTGTATGACGGCAGCCTGCGACGGCAGGGAGTCATGTCAAGACACTACTCCTCACTCTAATCTTTTTACAATAACCAGCATAGCGATCTCTCCATGGATGAATTTCGCACTATTTTTCAATATTCCGTATTTAATTACGGCGAAAATCGATATGAGAAGATAAATTATTGTGGATAGGTTGCTAAACAGAACTCCAGAACAGGAGTTTCGACACCAACGTCTAGGGTCGCAGCGCAAGGCAATCCGGTTTTAACGTAGCGATATGATGACAACTATGATCTTCACTCGATTCTGACACTGAACATTTTCTAGGTGGGAAGCGATCCACTTCAACTTTACCGAGTATAGACGAAGCCTCGTTTGATAAAACAACTGCTAAGTATTGCTTCGAAAGAGAGAATTATGTATCGTGAAAAAACGTCAGCCTATAAATTACTATTACATATTCGAATCCATCTAAAAACAGTTTGTGCAGTAACTCTTCCCTATACTACGACAAAATGACCGCACCTACAAAATTTTATCCCGATGGATCTAAAGGTCACTCAAACCCGTCTTCCCTTTTTACCTAACTATATTCCAGGTATCTATCCTATCGAATAAATATGACTGTCAGAGGCTCTAAACTAGCACTGGCTCTTTTTCTACTTTCAGGCACCTCTTACAACCACTTTGACAGGCAACTTTTCGCCTAAATTTCGCTTGGCATTTGATATGTGAGAGTGACGCGCAAGAGGCACACTTATGAACTTTTTCCATTTGGAAGGAAAACAGTAGCTCATTGTCGTCTCCGCAATAGACGCAAGTTGCAGCGAACTGTCGACAGTGCTGGAAATGTCCCTATATCATGCAAAAAAAGTTACCCCTTGTAAGAAAAAGGTAAAACAGCTGAAGAAGAAGTAAAACAATACCTCACAAGATTCGATGTGGCATTTAGCATAATGGGCTATTGGTTCAAGATGTGAACTCATATCCTTATTATGTACACGTACAAGATCCGACAGAGAAAATAGGTCCTGCGAATGCAGTAAGTGCTGTTCCATAGAAGTGAACAGTGTTCGAAGACTGCAACAAACATCAAAATATCGATCAATATCGAATAGCCATACTGCAACCCAGAAAGAGAGGAAGAATGTTATGCAAAGGTTCAAAAAAGACAAAAGCATAGGTAAAAGGCGTGTTAAGATAACATGCACATATCTCTACATTTGAACCCATTCAGCAACCACTTCCTCACATCTGCTTTCACTCCAGAAATGTGAGGAAGCTGAAGAGGGATTCCAGCCCGCACAAAGAGACTCCATTCTTTACAAATACAAAGCACAGGTCACATTCTGATGCTGTTTTCAGAGCAACAGGTGTGGGAATAAATCTAGCAGCAGGCACAGTTTGCGCGATTACAGTGTGTTCTTATCGAAACCTTCAAGCTTTATCCTCCCTACCAAAATTCAAAGTTCCGATAAATAGGGCACGAAAACACTAGGTCATATTTGTTGCTGATCCTTATTCAAAGCTGATACTGGAATAAGTCGTTACCTGATTGAAAAGAGGAAGCCAGCAATAAAATTAAGGAAAACGAAATCGGCTGCAGTGGAAAGTGAATACTTACTGCCCAATCTTTGTCTCAGTATTCTCAGCATCAGGGCATTCTTTCACAAAATCCCACATATATGAAAGCTTCTCTCGTAATACAATCACATGTTTGAGAACCCGTATTTTTTCAACCTGAAACTTTTGAACAATCATCAGATTGATCAATAGGTCTAGCGACTTGTACGAACTGACCATTTGTGGAGCTACAACGTTTACATGAATTGAAGGCACATCACGAACTTCTAGTAAAAAATGTAAGGCAAGATCACAAACAGGGAATTCACTGAAAACAGTATTTCTCACATACATATCTACGCAAAAGAATGAGCAACAACATAAAAATTAACGCTATAGATCATGGAAAAGCCACAAAAAAAACCTTTCCTTTGGAGTTACTACGAATGTGATGTTATCTTACTTGAAGTTCCACGTATGTAATATTCTAGCTGGTATTATTGATTTTGAACCTTGGTGGCAGCACTGACAGAAAACCTTCCCATAGTAATCACAGTATCTGAATCAATACCACTACAGTGAACACTTCAGTCGTGGGGCACTGCTTAGTGGTTTCCGATTCAAGGAAACAAATGGAATACAAGAAGAAGGCTTAGTGAAATACTGATTAGAAACTGGTTCAACTCACTTGACCCGTTTTATATACTCTTTTTCCACTCTGATTCCGCATCCAAAACATCGATAATTCTGAGCTTCAAGTAGTACCTTTACGCTGGAAAACATGCTGTAAAGAGTGTCATTCCGACTGTGCTTCAAAATGAAAAATAAGAACCAGTATGTGCAAGTGCATTCCATTCTTGCCTGTAGTCATAAGGTAAATATTTAGTCGAACCTTTCGCCCTTCCAGAGCGTATATATCCAAGATTCTTGAGGAGGAGTCCATTCCGGTTCAGCAGTAGATCGCGACGAACTGCGTCCGTGCTCCTCCTCGCTGATACTCTGTGAGGTAGTGGGTAACGATAGAAGCTGAAATGACTAGAATTATAATATACGCTATTAAATCCTTAGCCGCCATTCGAGGTGGATACGATGGTGGTGTTCATCACACGGCTTAATCTTTGGGTTTCAACCTCTGTTTCTCAACAACAGAGAAAAAAGAGGTGAGATATACCGTATCAGATGAACTAACGCAAAGCTGTGGAACTCATTTTCATTTTGACAGGTGCCCTCCTAAAAATCTACATCAAAGAACGCAATTGTTGAAGTGAGATATATGGCACGAACATATTACGTCTTAAGGTAACTTCTCAGCGATGATAGAAACAGTAAAAACGAAAAAGTTAGTGAAAAACTTGCCCTGTCCGTGTTTCGAACAAGGTCATCCATCCAATGAGAAACTCGCTCGTCACGTAAGGTTTCTCTACTTGTGAAGCTGCAATAAATTGCCTGATTAGTTATTCTGAGTCTTTGCTTCGTAGGACCTTTCGTCAACCAAATGGAACCATTTCTTTTGGAAGATGTTAACGTAAGATGATTTGTATTGCCTTCGGAAACAATTGAAAATTCGAAAACAACTAAGTCTTCTAACGATGGAGGTAAAGTATTGCAACATACTTACCTCTCCAGAACTGCAGAAGCTACTTCGCTCCATGTAACCTCAGGTTTCCTGGAGGGCGAACCACCGACCGTACCGCGAGTAAGCCGATGACGTCTGTTTGGCCTACAATTAGAGCTTTGCAAAAAAAGATAAATAAGTGAAAGATAGCCGCATAATAGAATCAATATTACCTTCTCATACTCCTGAAGATTGACGGTCTAACAGTTTCATCATCCTTGATCTCAAACGGCGGGCAGAATCTATCAGGAGAACAATCACCACTCGCTTCCTTCAGGTTCTCAGCAGAAGATCGATCGGTACTCATGCTTTTGGGAATACGATGCACAGCAAGGGGAAATTTCGAATCAGTCTAGTTGAGAAAAAGTAATTATGTTGAGGAAATGCATAGAGTTCTCATTTATAGAGTACCTCATGAACTAAACGAGATAACTCAGGGTCTTCCGATACGTCGTTCAACCATCGCGCCTCCTCTATTGCGGCCAGTGAAAGGCGAAGTGAATACATGTACATATTCGACTAAAAAACCTAGTGAAGTATTCGAAATAATGGAATAAAAAAAGAAAAGGGACCTCTTCCAGATCTTTCGATATGTTCGCATCCCGCTGACGAAGAGCAATAAACTCCTGTTCCATTTCTTTCCAATACGGCTCTTGAGGAACAATTTCCATGGATGGCGGCAATTCGTTGGTCACATAGAGATTGTTTATCCACCCGTGCTGTAAAAACGACACCATTCACTATTCACCAGTAGTGTGGTTACAACAACTTGAAGGGGGTTGCGTAAAGCGATCAAGTTAATTTATAGAGCTTCGTTATTACAGAGCGTTTGAGATACTGACATACAAAAACAATAGTTAAATTGAACGATAATTAATAATAACAATAATAAATTGAAATGAACTTGAATTCAACATTAAGAAGAATTCTGAATGGAAAATGCTTGATCTCGCACATTTTACAAGCCGAATACTCACATCTATGCAGAACGACGAAGGAGTTGGAAACGTTTTTGGCAGCGATCCAGATATGGTATCTTGATTCACGGTAGAGGAAGATGGTGTTGGAATCGGACAAGACGTATCGACTCTTGAACAAGATGGGCTGTTTGTCGTTAATTCACTTTCCGAACTGGATCTAGACCTAAACAGATGGTCTTTGAAAAAGCCATAACGCACGCGGAACAATCGACACCTGATTACATTACATAAACCAATCGACATACAGCCGGCATGAAATTATCGATCTCAGAGCTATTTCATATTGATGAACAAAAAAGCGAAGTCATTACCGAAAAGACTGTTTGAAAACAAAAAAAAAACGAGCCAAACGCAAAGGAAATAACAAACCTGTGTTGGCAGTGAAGAGAAAGCTCGGAAGCCGTTTTGAAGTCAGAGAATGTAGATGGTATAGGGCTTTGCTGGACAGACATTCGAAGGTCGCCATCGTCAGAGCTTGCGAAACTGAAGGCGCAAAAAACCTACACTAGATAATACCAGAATCAATACCCACCTTAGTACTTCGGTGCAGTGCTGAACAAAGAACTCACCTTGTGAACGAAATTTTGTCCACTTCAACCATGTCATCAATCTGATCATCCAACTCCTGTTTGCGGGATAGTATTCGTTCCATCCATGCAAGCGTGGTCTAAAGGAAAGTATGATCCTTTTGACCTTTTGTTTCCAAACATATTATTGTTTTCGCGCAGGATTTGGTTAACTGACGGCGGTTAGATTCTATAGTCTATGCACGACTCATTGAACATGAGTGCTTCCAAATCTAAGAATTATGCCAGCTTTCGAGTTTAAAGAAACACAAAAGAAAAAGGGAGGATAAACATTTCGAAAACCTCAAGTTCTTAAATAAAAAATTTTGGAAATCAATTTCGGTTGACAACTTAAGTAACAAGAGGATGAACCGAATACTAACTGGTAAGTTCCACTCAAAACTCATCAGAGCATGATAGCCATTCATAATAAAAGCTTGCAAACGCCAACTGATAAGAGGTCTTCAGCTAGGAAAAAATAGAACAATAGCAATAGGAGACAAAACAACCTAATAGACGAAGTTCCATCGGATTAGTGATGGTATCACTTTGCGGAAGCTAAAGGTACACCTAATCCAAGTGGTTGTACAAAAAAGCGCCGATCTAGTAACAGTACAGTCCAAATGTTTCGAGCTAGCCAAAACATGATTCACCACACCGAAACGCTGTAAGCGTATTGTATGAATCATTTCGTGTGAAGGCTGTAGAGTTCACGAAGTGCTCCCAAACCAAAACAATCCCCAAATTTTTACAAAAACAGCGTAACTTGGTTTTGAGCTGTAAGATCGTGTGATGTAATGGCTTGTATTGGGAATTTGATCGCCAATACATACTGATAAAAAGTAACATACTAATTCTCCAATCCACCGTCACGAATTGCTACATAGAACTGCCGTGTATTGTGTGAACAAAGTCCACTGCTTTACGCTGACAATCATTTTTACGAGATATTCAAAAACCCAGTAGGACAAGTGCCCATATTAGTATAATCCTTCAATTTTGGGACGAAGAAATATCAAAGGAATGACTACATGATGTAAGAATGGTCTTGACGAAAAATCAAATACAAACCAATCCAAAAGTCATAAGGATAATCGGAAAGTAGACAGCATGAAGAAAATTGAGAAGACGTCTCGAATGTATTGGACGTAATGCACTCAATGTTACAGAAAGGGCGTCTTTTGGGAAGATTTTTCTGACCTTTCTTTCAATTTAGAATGGAACTGCTTAAAAAGCAAGTAATTGTCGAACCGGCATAATTATACACAACAAGGCTTGAATATGTATCTGTGTTTTCCTCACTTTGCTTATATGAAGTGCTGGGCGTAAATTTATTGAATTCCTCATTTCTCTTCCTGTAAAAAAATTCTGGGTTTCCTCTCGAGTGAACGAGCAAGGGAACAAGTTCATCTTTCAACCACATAACGAATAGATGGTTTGCAAAAACTTTTGTGAGTGGAACTGGTGAAAATGGCTTAGGTCGATTTCAAATGTTAGAAAAAGTGAGCGTTCTGAGTGGAATAAAGTGAAAGCGCTCACTGTTCATTTGATTCCGTTCCGCCTGCCATTGCTTTCATATGAAAGTAGAACAGTCCGTGACCTGTGTGAGCGTTTGGCTACAAACATGCTGCCATGAAGTATTGGAAATCGATACTGAAATCAATGGCTATTCATCATAATGCCGATAATCTAAGCCTCTTAATCGAGCAGAAAAAAGATAGTATGTGTACAGGAGCGAAATGTTATGGGAAAATTGTCTTGTAATATAAAGGTGGTCTGTGCCCCTTCTTGGGCGTGCTTCTCTGTATTCTAAGTTATCCCTGTACATTCGATACACGTCTTTCATTAACAATTCTAAGCTTCCATGGCTCAAATTATCATGCTTTGATGTTCCTGCTTCTTTACAATCTCAAGCAGTGTTATTCTCGGTTTTACTTTTTGTTTTCTTTTTCCTTCTCTTTTGATAAGACTATTTTCTACATATTGTCTTCCCAATATTTCCACAGTTCACATAAATTTTTAGAATGATGTCGACTTTAGCTTTATAGTGTCTTCTTATGTGTCTTCCGGGCCACCATGGTGACCCGCTCCAATCCCATTGATTTCACAAACTTACGAGCTTCGGCTTTTCGGAAGGAGGAGCTTAGCTAGAAAAATGTTCCTGGACCCTTATACATGGTCATACTTGCTTGTTGAATGGAATTTTGATTACTTAGAATAAATAGCTCAAAAGGGTCTTTCTCGTACGGTATTCCCAGAGGAAATGTTTGGCACACTTCAACGCTCCATTGATCGCACTACACCTCACTCAAGCTTCATCATCTCCTCGCCGTTCGGGTTACCCACTTCATGTCCTGTCCGCTGGGGTTTCCCACCTCATCTCCTGTCCGCTCGCGTTTCTTACTTGTAATAACATGTCTCCAGTTCATATCCTGTCCTTTCGGGTTTCTTTCTTGTCGGTTCAGTTTAAATCCTGTCTGTTCGGGTTCCTTACTTGTAGCAATGTGTTCAAACGTGAAAGCCTATTGCCATTCTGTCAGCTTGTCAGCTATCATTTCCATCAGTTTCAGGTTTATGGCTGGCGAGTGAAGGCGTACCGGTATGAATTCTAGTCATGACCATATTTTTGATCAGATCAAATTCAGGCTTGATGATGAAACAATCGATCCTGAAAAGGTAAACTTCACATTCATATTTGAAACTTATATGCACGACTTTATAATGTCCTAACTCCTTTTTCAGAGATCATTTTGGGTTTTATTATCTTCTTTAGTGCTATTTGTAGTATGGATAGTTTTTCTTACATATTATTTATCCCGTGTCGTTGGACCAATCGTTTCGTTCATATTGAACAGGTGGGTCTTGTCATGATCTCTGCTTAAACCCCCTTCCCTTTCAATGGGAGAATTGTAGCGAATCACTATTTTTCTTTCCAGATACCTACGCCTCACAAAAACCCCTGGACATATCAAACTCACGAGCTTCTCTCTTAGTCTGCTCGGTGGCAAGCTTATGTTCAAAGACGTATGTGACTTATCAGTGGGAGAGTTTTTTCTCATTCAGTAACATGTACATTGAGAAGTGAGTTACAGTTTCTGTTTGCGAACGATGACTACTCTCTTCGAATAAATGACGGATGGATAGTGTTTTCGTATTGGAACTATGTTCCTGGTCGAAAAGTGGACTTCAAAAGGTATCCTGGATAGTTTTGTCCTTGTTGTAATGGTCTCTTCGAGGGTGATAACTTAATTCAAACCTTAAACTACGGCTCTTCATTCGAGCTATGATTTTTTGAAGCTCGTTACTTCGTTAGCATTCGCTCTTCGTGTTTCCAGCCCAGTCACAGTACACTAGTCAATGAATTTGCAGCAATTCATCTCGGTTGCACCTTTCTTTGAATGGCTTACAAATCCACATCTACAACCGGGTTCAGCGATACAAAGAGATTGCTAAGCTGTTCCGTATGGAAAAGATTTTCGGAGATGATGTCGAGGTTAAGAGAGCAGTTCCAATAGACAGGTTGAGCTCTTTTTATTTTCTTTTTTCCTTTTATTATCCCGTACCCCATCCAGCCAGTAGCAGTTCTTTGTCACTCAAAAGAGTTTCTCACGGAATTGTTTGTTTCAAAGGGAGTTTCTTAATTCCTTTCCCCTTTGCAAAATCTCGTATTACTTACGCTGTTTTTGAAGTTCCTGGGTACCCTCTCTACTTCACTTGAATAATAGTCGTTCGCCTGTGCAACTTTGAGTTCCTTCAGCGCGACGTTATGTTACTTTGTAAGTAGAGTGCCCTAGAGTTAGCTTTGCTTGCATTGAAATTATTATTTGTGTCATCATCTTTTATCCTTTACTTGCATTATCCGAATTCATCTTGGAAGAACCTTCGCAAATCCTTATGCATAATTGCAAAAATTTATCTTAGTTCCTGAGCACAGACTTTAAAATTTCTTTGTTTAATCGCCTTCAAATCGCTCTCTTTCAGCGCAGCACCATCTGCCTATTGGGATCGTATCTGGTCCTTAGTTGGTGTTATTAAGCTGGACATCTGGTCTGGCCGCGTAGTCATCGGAAACAGGCTTTTGCCCTATATGCTGGTTGTTTCAATGGAAAATACGAACAGTAAATTTTTGCGGTTTTATGGCACTTAGGACCTTTCTCTAAGTGGACATTTTTGAGGCAAAGTCCGTTTACGTGAATCAGCTGCCGACCGAGCGTTGCTTTCTGTTGAAGGCCAAGCAGAGAGTGTTCGTGCTTCATTTCTGAAACATCCTGATTATAAGGGAGTGCCTTACAAGGTTAGATGGTTTCCTTTGATGTGCTATCTTCTATCAGACTTATTCGTTGAAGGATCCACCTCGCACAATGGGAGACGGTTTTGCTATACTTCAAAGTGCCCTTTTACACTTTTTCTATCATCAGGATATACTAGGTATTTACAGGCTTCTATTTACTTTTTCGAGATTCTACAGTTCCTATTTGATGTTGACGCTTTGAAGGTTACGTAACCGTCGACGAGCAGTCACTGACCACTCAGAGGCCAATTTGGGAGTCCATATGGCGTTTTGATCACAATACCGTAGTCTCTTATGGCCCATGGGCTGATTTTCAACGCGCTCTGCTTTACAGTTTCTTCTTTCCATCAGACTATCAGGTAAACTCCACTATAGTACTGTTGACGGCCTTTGCTTCGTTTTTCAGAAGAAACGAAGCATTCTGTTCATGGTTTCTCCAAACGCATCTTCGTTGCAGACAGTAGTGCCAGATGAACTTCCGAAGCGTGGGAAGAGAAGAATTCATATCATGCACGACGTTCGAATCTCTCTCTTGAAGGAGACTTCTATCGATGTGTGGTTTATGCGTGGTGATCAACTGGAAAGTGTGCACAGTCGATGTCAGCCTGGAAGTACAATTGATGTGAGTTACTTCAAGCTACTTTGATAACTAGTATTTTAGTTCTTTTATAATATTTTTCCAATTTTCCTCTTTACTCTTTTCTAGGAAGTTCAATTTTTTGACTATATTTTGTGTATTGGTATTATGCACGACGATGAGCTTTGTTATATTCCCTAATTTCCATCTCACAGTTTCTTCTTACTTGCATGCATGCATGTAAGAATGAATGCAAAATGAAAGTAAGAAGAAACTGTGAGATAGAAATTAGGGAATAGAGAGTAAAGTTCATGCATTCTTACATTCATTTACTATTTTGTCTTCCATGATTCCCACATCATTTACTCTCACCTGTCGGTTGCTGAAAACCAAAAAAGCTCTGCAAGTTGTCATCGCTTTTCTTGGAGTAGTAGCGTGGAGATGATTATTCATCGCTAAATACCACTTTAACCCATCGACGAAAGCGTGGCCCGCCCGCGGGCCACACCATATCGTGCTCCTGTAGTATTTGTATTATTTGTCAAGTGTTCTTATAATTTTTACACGTTTTCAAGTATCATCAGCTGAGCTCAAAACCTTCTAGAAAATCTTGAGGGACTGTGGTCCAGAAATCGCTCATTTCCAATTACAGTTATAAGAGAAATTAAAGGATAATGCAAGGACGGTATAAAAGGCGCGGTCGCCAATGGGTCAATAGCGCATTTGCCATCGAAAGGAGTCATCAGGCATTCAATACACTTTGAACGATAAGCAGTTTATGATTACGCTATGAACTATGAATCAGTCATCGAACTGATGAGCAGTGGTTGTGTAGAGACAGCCGCAGCCCGGTTAGCTCAGTCGGTAGAGCACCAGACTCTTAATCTGGCTGTCGCGGGTTCGAGCCCCGCATCGGGCTTACATTTTGCATTCTTGTTTTTTGCCTTCTACATGGATACTATTTCATATGTATGGGAGTGTTTTCCATTTATTCGTGTTATATGTCGTTTTTCCTTCAATCAGTGTATGTTTTTGAGACCTATCATCCTCGACCGTTTAGATGTCAATTTGGTGGATAACAAAAGAAGACGGGTTCAGTTGGAGTATGCATACTTCTCTTCTTCGATTGGAAAGTACATCCTCTTTACCGTATCGTAAACTTTTGGAGGCAGAGACATTCAGCGTTGATGCTGAATTCAAATATCCAAGGGTATGTCCTGAACAATGGTTTTGAAGGATTTACTCGCAAATTTCTAATGCTTTTACAACGAATCACATGTCTCATATGTGATTTGTCCCATTAGAATCTATATTCTCACCCTTTACTTCTTTCGTGGTTTTAAAATTTTCCATGCCTCTGAACTATTTGATTCTGTTAGGTTTCGTTAGGCAACCGCAGATGGAACAGGACCCGGTGATTCCAGGTATTCAATGCGAAGCAAATTTGGGATTTCAAGTTCCGTCTTACAAAATGTTGCTGCTGGCTTGTGTGGGATCATCAGCGATTTGTATCGGTGAGCAGCGACATCACTCCTTCTGTAGACAGCAAGATAGGTGATACTAGTATCCAGTATCCAGTACTCCGCTCGTTTAGGATCTAATAAATGAGTTCCTGGGTGACACTCCAGCAGATCTTGTTACTTTTGTACCATATACTGTCAGCATCGACTTTGATGTTTCGGATAGCTTTGAGGTAACAGTATAGGTTAACCTTGGCTTATTGCCAATCTTATTACATTTGTTACCCAACCTCTACGATCGAGGTCTTCGTAGACTGCCGACATGTGGAGCGTAGAACGAAATGACTAAAGTTTCACTACTATCTTTCTCATATTAGCAAATGTAACTAACATCTTTTGTGTTCAGGCCATTCTACTACTGAATGAATCGAACTGGGTGGATCCATCTGAGAAGAATCCAGAAAATGTGGAGGCTTCGATTGTTGGAAGTCATTTTAACATTTGTACGCACTTATTCTCTCAAGGAGCATTTGCTGTTTGGAAACCAAGAAATTTTGCTTCTTTGCCATTGCTCAAACTAACACTGTCGTTACCCATAGAGTTGTCGTGAGCCTTTGCAGCTTTCACGATGCCATTCGAGGATTTCTTACCGGAATTGGTCTCAACGACGTATACACTCCGTCTGGAAAACGCGTTAGCGTTGCGATTGCGCTATCCGCCAGGCAGCGCCACAGCTCCCGTGATGGCAGCCTTGTCTTGTGCGGCTTATACCAATATGTACAGTTCCCCATCGCCTCATGGAATTCATTCGAATAATACGGTAGGCGAATATGTTGTTGCCATGCANAAAATGAACTGTGTACAACAAAGTCCTTTATTAGTTTAGTTCCCAGGAAAAAGGAAATTTCCTTTCCGAGAGGAACTTTCACAAATGATGCTATGCTCGTCTTAAGCCTTTAGTGTGGTCATTTAGGAGGAATGGCATGAAATCTGGCGCACAGAAAGTATAACATGCACTATTGACTTCACATATCATCCTACGGTATCGAAAATTGCCTCAGATTTGCCACTACATGTGCTGCAGGAATTTTTGCCGAAGCCCGTAGAGCATCCTAAGGATGTGAGTTGAAATTGGCAGTATCTGCTATGAATAATTCGCGCTTAATATTGTGTCCCTGTGTTTTCGTAGATATCAATTGATGATCCTTTCAGCTTCCGCCCGATAAAATGATTGTGAAGCTAGAGATTGGTGGCTCGGAAGTGAGGCTCACTGGCTCGCTGATAAAATGTGTGATTGAACTGAAGAACAACTACTTTGGGTTGTACGATTCGGTTAGTTACAAAAAAGATTTCTTATCGTTCTGGATGGTCAGCCCCACTAGGTCTTCCGTTTTGAGGCTTATAAAACGAGAAAGTCGCTGTTGCCTGCGCGACTCTCCCTACTCTGAGAGGGAGAAATAAAAGTTTTTCGAAGAGACGAACGCTTGGTGTCAACTAACTTCTTTGAACTTTGCATTTTGCCTCTGTGATAACCGTGACGTCACTTGAGTATTCTTGTTGTATATAATGACGAAGTAGTTGTTCCGAGTTTCCGGTGTTCTCGCCCTCATAGAGGGGATGAACCAAGAAGGAAGAGAGGATTTGTTGTTTTGAGCCCAATTTAATTGAAGATATGATCCATGCGCTGTGGCTGATTTGGAAATCTTTTTACTCTTTGCTGCATTTGACAATAAAAATAAGGCTTAGATTTGAAAAGGAGGAAAGTGCAATTACTCCTGTTGGCAGAATCGGGTGGTAATAAGAGATCCGCCGACACACCTATAACCATATGTAAACTTACTAGTCGAGTTCCAATCAGACTTTTGCTTCTCAAGGGGACGTGTGACTTGACGACGCACTCGATTTTAAATTCAAGGCCTTGTATTGGACTTAATCTTGCCAAGAGCCTAATGCTTCCCACCATGCTTATGAATCGAAACCGGGAGCCTCCGGAAAAGGACACGATTATCTTTGCAAATTCAACCTCAGCTCCACCGGTCGACAGTTCGCCTTCCATGACTCACTAATGCAAAGATTGAATACTCCAAGTTTGAAACTTTTAGAAAAACTGAATTGCAATAATTAGACAAATTTCAGATGACTGATGTTACTCAACCGGAAGCAATCGCAATGACACGATCCATTTACAATCGTGTACTTCCAAATGCTCCAGTAGAGGCTTATAGGCCAATGGAAGTAATAGTGGATCTTAGAGTGTTCAATATCAGAGCTCACTGTCTCACATATGCTTCATTTTCAGAGGAGAAAAGTTAGTTAGTCGATTTTCGAGTAATTTTTTGAACGTAATTGGCATATAAAAATGACATAGATCGTTCTTTTGACCATTTTTTGGTTTTTTTCTATTTCTTTTATAACTTAGATTTTCCTTTGTTTTTTGCATCTCAAAATGTTGAAAATCCTAATTCATCCAGTAATATATAGACTTCACTTCGAAACAGCCTTGTTTTCAAGGTTTTTGTCCGGTGTTGTGTACGGAGGAGATTGCTGTCGTAATAAAGAAGGGTTTCAAGGAGACCATAATACAGGTTGGTTATCTGAAGTCTATTTTTGAAATGCTTCTCAAAAATACGCCATCAAGTCATTGGTGAGGATGAAATGCGCTTACGGAAGTATTGCTCCCATTTGGGTTTGACTTCTGGCTTGGAAAACACCTTTTTGATTGTGATGTTTTTCGGCTGGCGTTGGCCCTTGTGCAGCTTATTTCGAACGCTCAGCATCAACACAGAACGACGGGTATTTGACTCTGTCTGGATTCCAGTTCAGGTAATGCTGATAAATAGATTTACTCATCTCTATTTCATGGATGTTGTGCACATCTTGTTTAGTAAACTTATTTTTCCAGGGGACATGCAATGTTCTCATCAGTTGATTGCCCATGGGATATGGCTGTTGTCGAGTACTGTTGGCTGACAGAGCTTCTGATTGGAGATCTTGACGGGTCATTTAGTAGTCCATCACAAGTTCGTGCCAGATTTACAGAGTCTTCTTTTTGATTTTAGAAGCTGAGCGTTCCTGACCTGACTTGTTCTCTAGTTCTGTGATCCTAGCGACACTGTGAGGTTTACGCCCTAATGAGCTTATTGAAGGAAACTTTAGATCATTACACTGATAAACTTTCTCGACACACTACTGTTGCTTGTCATTGCGAAGGATGACGCGAAAATCGTCCCGGAGAGGTTCAAATTTTGTCAACATGGACAAACATGTACAGTATGCTCAATAGGATCACAACCAGGGCGCCCATGTGAACCAGAGGAACGGTGTGTATCGTATTTGCGTTGATACCACAAGGATTGGCTCCCTATAAAAGCGGCAGAGGCAAATGGGAATGTTTTAGACTGAAGTATCGACAAATGCGTCTTGCTGTAGATGGCGTGCATTTGGCGTTGACGGACGAGAACACTGCTATCACTGTGAGCCTCCGCTTACACTTATCCCTTCTAGCTCACATCCTATTTATATGAAGGACGTTTGATATTTTTCGCGTCTAGTTTGTCCAAGGAGCCCTATTATGTTGTCAATTTTATGAGATATTGCCAGTTTTCAGTTAGCTGTCGATCCGATACGCTTTACTCTCTGCAATGCTCATGAGAAACGATGTACTGAACATATCTGCGTTCGGATACCGCAAGTGACCGCTCTGCAATGTATGGCGTTTTCAGGGAAATTCCTGTTCTTGGTAACAAGATATTTCCTCACTTTCAGTGTTTCATCCGTCCAACAGCCCTACATGGCTAGAGTGTGCGCGCGCGAGTATCTCAGGAGTATCGCTTGATGTTGAGGTATGGTCTCAGAGTTTAAATGTTTTCATCAAGAAGCCAACTGAAAAAAGGCCAGGACAGCGTTGTAATTTTTTGGATGAGTGATCTGATTTATCTGTGGTAGGACCCATAAGTCCGGAAAAGTCATGAGGTGGCTTTCTAATAGGGATTGGAGAACTGGCTGTTAATGATGAATCTTCAACTTCTGATTATTCATTTTTTATTGGTATCAATCTTATATCTTGGAATAGTGAATTAGCAGCGCAGTTGTTAGTTTCTCTTTCTCACCTCTTTTTGTTATCTTCACTCATCGATTTTCCGATTTCTGGGAACAAGATAATTTTCATGGTTCTCGAGACCTCCTAAGGGCTGTGCTTGAACTTTTTGGTTCCGGCAATTCTGCATTATCAGCTATGTATCATTAGCATTTGAAAAAAATACTCATCACTACGAAATGTACTTCATTGGCTGGATTCTTNNNNTTTTTTTTTTGAAGAATTGTTCCATTAATAGTGATCATCCTCATTTGAACGCTTCTCAGTTACCGAATCCACCTGCATCGGGTCATTTGGATCAGCTAAGACAAGCGTTCCTTCAAAAGCACGACAGGGAAAGTAAGCGTCTTCATTTCCTATGGGATCGCACCACAACGGCGTGGAGCTGTGCGTGCTATGGCGATACAGCTTTTATAACGAAAGACGATCCACTGTGAGTTTTTTCTTCGAGTGTTGCTGCCACAGGTACCATGATGATCCGTGCTGCAACGAGGGATGAGATATTAAGGAGATGCCTTAGCGGTTTCATACTAATTTTTGATCGTTTCTCTGAAGAGTTCTGCTGGTTGGTTGTTGCTCAGAATCTCAGAATTGTTGAGATGTGCTCATATCTGTGGTAGCAAGCTAATCACTCAAGTTGATTTATGGCTACCTTGAGCAGTGGATTAGCTTTGTTCAATTTCAGCGGACAATATTTTTTAATTCATCTGGATCAAAAATTGTGTGTACACTCAATGAACCAGACACCTGGTGGGCAGCCTGGTGTATTTCAAAACATAGTATATCCCGAAAAAAAGTGAGTCGATCGTATTCTTAACTTACTCCTTGATGTTATCTCAGAAGCGTAAACCTGCGTGAATCAAATATTTTTTCAGGCTTTTCCGAGAAGAACTCCGGCAATACTTTTCGCCATCACGCAAGCCCAGTACTCAAACTACGAGTGAGGTTCCATCCATGGAAACCGCCTCCTTCCATTCGGCGATGTCGAAAACTATTCCGGTGCGTGAACTCCTAAGCGGCTCCTTTAACTAAAAACTCATTCGAGAAACTAGCGTTGAAGCCGGAATCATAAATTATAATAGAAATGGACTGAGTACTCCAATAATTCTTCTTTATTGCCTTACTGGTTTATTTAATTATGATACTAACCAAACAATCGTATAAACAATAGGGTTTAGAGCCTTAGCCTGATATTTTAGATAGAGAAGTGCTTGGTATCTGTACGTCCCCTGACTGATGCTTATGGCGAGTACCTTACTCATTACAATGTCACCAGCAGGACAAGTAGGTTTCTTTGAATTTTCTTTTCTTCCTCTGGTTTTCCCAATGATTGTTTCTCTGAAGAATCTGAAGCGCCACAATTCGGAGCGCCTGGAGAGATTGCACAGTGGGTCGATGCGCGAACTTTCAAAGTGTTTGAGGTTTGTTTTGTCAAAAATATCGTAGAATGTTTTAAATAATATTACTTTCGTTCAGTTGTTCAACCGATTATATCGCAGCTTGATTTATTCACTTACCTACTGAAACTTTATAGATCCTTATAAGCTCTTCTCAGTGACAAACTTACATTTTGATCAATTCCCAGCTCTTAATCTGGCTTACATTATAAAGATCAGATGCTGGGCGAAACGGCTCAACTCAACAGAACCGTTGTTCAGATGTACCATAAGTTGATTCTTTCTGATTGTAAGTAGTTTACAGTATAGTAATGACGGGGCTAGAGATTTCATGACACCTGTTAAGAGGCGACAGAGATGATTTGAAAGATTTCAGGTCCAAAAAGGCATATCTTCCGTCCATCTTACTCTGTTAACTCCCTCTATGAAAGGCGGCTCTTCGAAGGTCCAACCAGCTTCAGAAATGCAGTCCGGTGAAACGGTGTTTGAGCCTCAGGCGTTGGATACTCGCCCGGCAACGCATGATGGTAGATTTGTAATCAACGGCTCAGTAGGCAAGACGCTAGAGGTGGGTCTCCTTTCCAGCACTTGACTGGTGAGTCTAAACAGCCCAATGCATCATCTACCTTGAAATCGGCCCTCAGCAGAAGCGTTGAGCTGACACGCTGCATATCTCGTTAGCGAAGTATAGTGCTCTCAAACATTCGTCTTTCAGATCTTTTTCACGCCTCTTGCCATAGAATTACTTGATCGTCTGCTGGTTGATGTATCGCGATGTGTGGCGTTAATTCATCCGTCAATGCTAGTCCAAATGAGTTACCGCGAGTGTGTCAATAAGCAACACCGTCAGCCGTTAACGGAACCACTTTTTACTACAAGTTAGTTGCTTTTATGGAAGAATACAATCTGAATTTTCCAATATTATCGGTCTNNNNCTGGATAGTCTGCTCTTGTTCTCTCTGGAAAAAATCGTGTATAAGCAGAGGAAGTCAGATTGGGTTTATACGCATTAGTCTGAGATGTTCCCATGCTCTTATAGTGAATCATCATTTTTACTGCAGCCAAAGGTACTCAATCAAGAATATGAAAGTGAAGAGAGTTGCAGGAGTTACATCGTATTGGCAAAAATCGTCAAGACCTCATGACGTCGGTGTTGATCGAGGGAGTATCTAGCTATCGGTAGCTATACGGATGATAGTATAAAATGCCTATTGCCTAATGCCTAAAATGCTAGAAGAGTTTATTTTTCGAGCCTCTTTGAGCGTCAGGAACGTCTATAGAACCAGCTGTGATTCCCAACGATATGGGGGGATCCCTTAACATAGGAAGGGCAAGATAAAGAGAGTGTTCACCTTCACCTCCCACCTTTTGAAGTTCTCTGATGATATTCCAAGTGTTGCTATATTATAAGTCAGTTTTTCTTTCAGCTGAATCCTCGCCATTGCTTAGCGTTTCGTTGGATCTCCCGCTTGCTCATGTAGCTATGTTTGAGTGTAGTATAGTTCATAGTGAAGGCACTGAAGTAAAAACAGCTGCGAACATGGCGGCAGTGCTTCTGCAGAGAGCTTCAGTAACCTCCGGTACAACGAAAGACTTCGTGAGTTACATTATATTTTCATAGTCTTCTCAAGGTGGATAAAGTCATTTACAGATCATTCAGGTTAAAAAAACTCTAAGTTTTTAGTGCACTTACCCCGTATAACATATATGACCCCCCTCCCCTACGAACGCAGATTCTGAGCTGCAAGTTGGTAGAAGGCTACTTTGTAGCTGAGAATACTTGTAAATAAAAGTATTACATGAAAAATGCGTGAATTCTGTAATCGTAATCTATAAGCTACACTAAGCCAAGACGAAGCACGATCTAACGATATTATAGTTTTATTTTACCTTCAAAGTTTTTCAAATGACCTCCATTGAGAAGCCGAACCTTTGAGATGAACACTGCCCCTCTGAGCCTCCACACCAATACAACTACTTCCCTTTTATACGTTTCGAACTTTCGAAAAAGCTGGTGTTTGGATTTTGTTGCGTTCTATTTCCCCTAGCTGTTGCCTTTATAACATGGCAACAAACTTGCCTTCTAAGCTGATACACTTTCGAATGATAATTTGCGTCTTTTTCGCAGATTGAAGGACAAGTTACAATCAATCTAAACTCTTCGGTACTGTCTGCACAGTTTTTACATTTCACCTCGCGATTGTTGACGGACTTTGCTGGGAATCGAGTCAATTTTAAAGCATCGGTAAGCAATTCTTTAATTTGCACCATTTCCCAGTCTCAAATTTTGTTGTCGCTACTAGGTGGCTTGGGACAAATCTCCGCTAGCAGAGCGAATGCTGGATATTGAACCTCGTGTCGTCGTTGATTTCCAANGACTTTGCTGGGAATCGAGTCAATTTTAAAGCATCGGTAAGCAATTCTTTAATTTGCACCATTTCCCAGTCTCAAATTTTGTTGTCGCTACTAGGTGGCTTGGGACAAATCTCCGCTAGCAGAGCGAATGCTGGATATTGAACCTCGTGTCGTCGTTGATTTCCAAGTGCCGGACGTCGAAATCTCACTCGAAGGTCGTGACGCGAACGTCAAATCGAAGTGAGTCATGTGTTCGGAGGTTTTCTGCTGAAATGTTCCTTTTTCCAAAATTAGTGTAAAGGGTTCAGTATAACTGTGGTTCATGGGTTGGAGGAAAGGATATGAGAACGACGTGTCTGGGGAAAATTCTGGTGTAGGGGGTAGTTGGCTCCATCTCATCTAGGATTCTTGTTAATGACGTTGAGCATTAGAGGAGAGATAGTGAAGTCACAGAACTGCTTCTGAAAATTTGTAGGTATTGGCTAACTGGCAACCGTATAGAAGCGCATTCATGAGCTAGCCTACCTTTTACGTAACTTGGGCTTCTTTTCCGAGGTTTCCAGATTTCAGGCAAAGTAGGGCTCAGTCTCTCGGTAGGTTCTCCTTGATGGAGGACTGAACTGTTCTTTTATAGCTGTCGATCCTCACATAAGTGTTTCAAGGGTTTTCGGTGTACGAAGAACGCCTTAATCCAACGATTCAAAATTTCAAATGTTTAATATATAGGCGTAATTTGCTGAATTATCCATCTCCATATCACCTCGTATTCGGAGCTGCATAACCTCTTCTTCTTATTATTTGATGAACTGCCACATTTTTCCGAATCTACCACCTTTCGAACCTCTTTTTTGTGCCTTCGTGGACTCGTAAGTACAATGTTTGGTTGCAGCGCTGAAGCGGTAAATCGCGAGTCGGCAGAAAAATTAACGCCTCCGCTCCATTCAGCGAAGATTCTCCACCTATACAAAATGAAGGTACTTAAATAGNTACGTGTTTAGGTTGAAATCGGTGCCGTGAATACGCTTATTGTTATGCCACGACCTCTGGAGATGACTGGGAGGAATGAGTTTCCGTTATACGACGTGCTGTCACCATGTCTGACCACATGGCTGCATGTATCGAAGCAGCTGACCAGTACTGTCGAGGAGGTTACTCCGTTTTCAGCTCCTCTCGTTCTATTATAGTTTACTTATGGAATCTGAATTTCAAGCCAAAAAGTAATAGGGCCGTTGTAGGCCTCCAACTACCAGTACATACTTCATTTATCTTAATGTGTAACTTATTAGTTTGTTTTCAGCTGCAAGAGAACTGGGGTGCAACGGTGGACATGACATTCGCTCAAGTGCTCAAACTAGCCTTAGACTCTACGGATGACCGTATTTTCAAAGCCAAAAGTGGACGCTGTGTGATGCAGAAAGTAACCGAATTGGGTGCACATCAAGCTAGCTGTCCGTCCTGTTTACTTTTACATACTGTGCTCAGGTGAGTATAGAGCCGAGTCTGTTACCAATTTGGGAGGCCAAGTTTGTTATAAAACCTCGCCGTTTGCGTACGGCTCGAAACTTTCACCGGAGTGACTCTGTTAAGGTGGTGTGCCTTACCGGAATCTGCGGAGAAATTGGCCCAGCAGCCACCTTCTACGTTGGCGTTTATTCCTGAGTTCTCGGATCGAACGAAGAGAAAAACGGCCTTGATGGCGTTGCTCAGCCACTGGCATCCGGACATATGCCAACAAGTCAAAGTACGCTGATGTTTACTTAGTATGAAAGTTTTTTCGTTTTAACATTCGGTTTGTCCTGATATACATCTCTAAATATAAGCTTTGAGTTGGCCTCAAATGCCGAAGCACGTAAGTTCCGCGTTGATCCGACATCGTTGACACGAGAAGTTCGTATACCCATGGACGAACCTGAAAAGAAGTCGGATCTAAAGCTCCGCCAAAATCTGAGCAAGAGTAGTCAGGCCACTACGGTGAGCAGATGAATTTTCTGTGTGCTCTAGGCTTCATTAGTTATCATTTATGCTTTATAATAGGAATGTTGGGCTCACTGGAATTTAATAAGGGAACTTGATAGGCTTAAACTCTCATCTAACAGTATGGTCGTTGAACTGAGCAGCACGCCGGTTCGTGAGGAATTTACCGGTTTTATCAGCTTCTCACCACTAGTTTCAGTATTGTCGTAGCGATTTCCTTGAAAATGAAGGTATATCGGCGGTAGTAGGCCGACTTCGATAAAGATGAAGATTCCCGTTGAATCACAACTAAAGGTGGGGAGAACTTATCTGCAAGAGAATGGTCTAAGTAATTTTAATTAGGCTTGGAGAGGTGAGGTTCCTTTAACCGAAACCAAGATGATCAGAGTGTAAATTCCGAATGCGACTGGTTTCAGAACGTCGCAAGTAATGCAGGAGCAACCAAGAGGCGATCGTCGACGCACGAGCAGAAAGGTGAACTTTCGGAGCCTTCTCCTGCTTATCCATTGTCAGCCTCTCTGAAAGCTGCCTGTTCAAAATAATCTTTCCAGTTGATCTCTATCACTGGTTGTTGTCGGTGCATCGCGAGCCTAAAGATCGGAAATTGACTGATGCAGGTGGTAGAGATTACCTGAATCCTATGGACATAATGTCACAAGCGTTCTTCTTTAGCTTCTACAGGGTGAGCGTTAAGTTCTGAATGTAGTTGTGCCTCGTTGAAAAAGTTCTAGTTTTTGTAGAGTCATTGCCTCGAGTGGACAAATCTTGATGATATGCCCTTTCATCAGCTTTCATTGGCCTACATTTTTGTTATCAACAATGTAGTTACCGCAATGGTCGAACAGAGGTAGGTTTCTTCATCCGATTGTTGGCTGCTCTTGTGGGCTTCTCTATTTTTAAAGAAGACCTCTTTGGTATTTCAGAGTAGTTTCTTCGGCAGCTGATATCTCTCGAAAGTTTATCACACCGCATTTACATCAACTTGTACATGTGAAAAGAATTGCTATCGACGGAAAACTGTCTTGGCATATCGTCATGGACGAGAAAGGACTTCTACCAGAAAAGGGAATCGTAAGTAACGTATTACGTGGTTATCTTTTGATGAGAGCGGAACGGTTTGAAAAAGGCGTGCATTTCTGTTGCTCTACTCAGCTTACCTGGTGCGGATCAGCCGCCTTGAACTTTGTATCTTATCACGCGGGGTAACACCGGTGTCACTTGTTTCTACTC